CCGCAGCCTCCCTCTTCCTTCCTGATGACGGGGACCATGAATGTCATTATCGCCACGGTGGTTGTACATACACACCGGCCAGACAACCGCTCACCTCTGACTTTTTAACACGTTCAGTGCGGCGTGACCCACACCGTGGGTCCCAATAACATGGGATTGCCTACCCCCACCGCACTTAATGTGTTAATGTTTTTATCATTTTCTCTGACTTACGGCAGGTTGTAATCGAGCAGATGTGACGTCGGATTAAATTATTGAAAATTGATTTACGTCTTTTTTGTTTGTTGTGTTTCAGGGTCCGTTCCGTTTGCCGTGCTTTGCGCCAGCGGCCCATCATCCTACACGACAAGCGGCTCGCGAGCTTGCACGCCCTTCTTGGCTTCCATGAATGGACCTCAAACCACACAAACAATCTAAGCACGCCGCCGACGCGACGACGGACGCCTGTCCATGTGCAGCCGCCAGACCGAGACCAGGAGGAGAGCGGCGGCCCGGGCGGAGCAGGGAGCCCCGAAGCGGAGCGCGAAGCCGAAGCGGACGCGCATGCATATCAAAGGGGCAGAGAGGGCTGCACAGGCAGGTCAAACGGAGCAGACAGCTCCGTGTCTCATTTCCTGCTTCTCACTCCAATTACTTTTCACTCCGGCGCACTCACACACACACGTCTACACAACACATTTACTCTCGGCCGCTCTCTCACACATACACTCACACTCCAACACGCGGAGCTGTCACGAAGACGTCTCGTCCATCCTCCTTCGAGACAAACACATATACACACACAGGAGGGCGCCGCTGTGCTGTTTCTCCCGACGCCGTACTCGGGGAGGGTGACCCCGCTCCCTCTCCTCCCCCCGCGCCGCGCTCGGCCAACCCTTCCCGCCGTCACCCGGCGACGCCACACTAGCCTTCGGCCGACGACGCGGAGGGATGTTAGTTTTGCATTCTATTTTTCGAAATACATACACCTCCCAAAAGCATCAAAAATGTAAGCTAATCATTATTTCTTTCATTGATTTGCCTTTCTCTCCTCCACTGCTACGAGATTCATAAATCGAAAGTGAAGAAAGCCTTTAGCGCAAAACGCAGTTTCTGGCGCCGACTTAATATATTTTCCATTTCCCTCCATGCATGCGTGTTTTCCAAGTGACCTTGTTCGATCCCTGCGCCGGCGAGCCCCATCCTATCCCTTTATTTATGGAGCGAGTCACGTTTTTGATCCTTTAGAAAAGCCATCCCCCCCCCCCTTCCTGCCTCCCCACCCACGGAGCCTAAGGCGATTGTGGCCACGTAAGCCTGGAGCAGGGCGAGGCCGGGCGGGGCGGGGTGCCTGGCGAGCCCTCCTGTACGAGTCCGACATGTGCCGGCCCGACGGGGCAGCGAGGCTCGGCCCAGGGACCGTCGGCCAGGGGCGGCTCAGGGTCGATGGAGCGAAACGGGGAGGGAGGCCGAGGGAGCGAGCAAGGAGCGAGCGAGAGAGCGAGCAAGAGAGAGAGAGACTCGCACACCGAGCTCATCCCGGCCGATGGAAAAGAGGGTGCAGGCAGGGCGCGCGGACTTCATGCATTCATACGAGCGGGC